CAAAAGGGTTAGAGCAAAGAATCACAGTTTGAGGCCAACCCAGGCAAAGTTTGTGAGACCTATCTCAACCAATAAAAATGTTGAGTGTGGTGGCTCATGCCTGTCATTCCATCTACATGGGAAGTATATATAAGAATATTACAATCCAGGCCAACCTCAGCAAATCTGGGACACCATAAGGAAAATAATGGAGGCAAAAGAGGACACGGCTCACATAGTATAATACCTGTCTAATAAGCACAAGACCCTGAGTTAAAACATCAGTAACACCAAAAAGACATACAACATATATACTTCATAGAGATTTGCCTGAGGGTTTCTGGGAAACAGCACCAAGCCCATGGCTGATAGAATGGTCATACTCCAGGAGCTACCTGCCAACTTCTGGTGTCTACACACAGGCAGGACTGGGAGCCCTCAGCACAGGATCCAGAGATTACACCATCTCCCCTATATACACCCTATATACATTGCAGGTATATATGGAAACATCATCAAGAATCTCAATGGAAGCTGTTGATAACATGTGAATGCGAGGACAGGGAAAGAGTTAGAGGCGTGTGTGTGTGTGTGTGTGTGTGTGTGTGTGTGTGTGTGTGTAAGTAGTCATTGCAGTATTTACAATAAGAGCACCAGCTAGAAGACAGGTTGCATGAGGGTGGGGAGTAGTTGTGAGACTCTAATCTCAGAAAAACAGCAAGAAGCCAGAAGTAGAGCTGTGGCTCAAGTAGTAGAGCAATAAAGCTCAGGGACAGCAACCAGGCCCAGAATTCAAGCCCCAGTGTTAGCATAAAACAAACCAAACTAGATCTCATCTGAGTTTAAGAAGAAGGAGCATTTTTTAATATTTTCTTTCTTCTTTCCTTCCTTTCTTCCTTCTTTTTCTGTTTTTAAAATAGTTTTTTTTAAGCAGTTGTACAGAGGCGTTACAGTTTCATAAGTCAGGCTTTAAGTACAGTGTTTCTTGGGGGTTTCTGTCCCTTCCTTCACTTTTCCCCATTCTCCCACTCCCCTCTCTACCTGCTTCCCTCCCTCCCTTACTTCTTTCCTTCCTTCCTTCCTTCCTTCTCTCTCTCTCTCTCTCCCTTCCCCCCCCTCTCAGTTGATAGAAGCAGGAGGATCATGAGGCTAGCATTATCTACATAGTGAGACTATATCTCAAAAAGAAAAAAAGAAGGTGCAGTCAATAGATGAGACATTTCATTAAGTTATATTCCTATATTTCTTTCAATGAAGTATTATTTCAGCAATCTTAATTTTTTATATTTCTAGCTTCTTTCAGTCTTGTTCTTATTTTTTTGACCATATACATTTTGAGGATACTAATAAAATTGTTAATTATGCTTTTTAGTTCTGTTTCTGAGTTGACCATATTTCTCTTGTGTTGCAGACTCCCTGTAATGCTAACAAATTCTTCCTGAAGAATGACTTGAAATCTGACCAGTATCACTATTTACTTTATCCACTGGGACATTTGTATTTTGCTGACTTTATTCTGGATTTGCCTTCACCTTAATCATTGCCTTCTCTTCATGTCACCCTGACTTTTTGTTAGACACTTTCAGGAAACTCATTTGAGTATTTGATCTGTTTCCTACCAGATGTTTGAATGATAGCAAATAATATTGCCTGTTTTTTCTCTCTCTCTCCTGGTACCTGGGTTTGGAACTTAGGGCAGAATGTTTCTAAGGGCTCTACTACTTGCTATGCCTGTGGCCTGGAACTTTTCTACCTACATCATTCTCAAACTACCATCCTCTGGAACTCAGCCTCTTAAATAGCTGGGACTGCAGGCATGAGCCTGTAGAATAATATTTTTATTCTAGAATTTTTTTTTTCCAGTCATGGGCTTGAATCCCAAGCTTGGGTACTGTCCCTGAGCTCTTCAGCTCAAGGTGAGCAATCAACTATTTGAGCTACAGCTCTACTTCCGGTTTTCTGGTAGTTAATTGGAGACAAGAGTCTCATGGACTTTCTTGCCCAGGCTGGCTTTGAACCATGATCCTCAGATCTCAGCTTCCTGAATAGCTAGGATTACAGGTATGAGCCACTGGCGCCTGGCCATAACTTTAATGGCAGTATTTTCAACATCAGTTATAAGAGTCACTATTGATACTCAGATTTAGGAAAAATGGTCAGCTCAAATTGATCTGCACATCTATTTAGTTGTAATTAAATCCCATAAAGAGATTTTGGTAGAACTTTGATAGGTTGATTTTCCAAAATGTGCTTTCATATGCAAATACATGCAACTAGGAATAGCCAACTCACTCCACAAGAACAAGAGACATTCTATCTTTATTATAAAACTAAAGTAATGAGCAAAAGTGTTAGTGAGAAAATGGGAACAGAGCAGTAGAACAAAATTAAAAGCTGAGACACAAATGAGGAAAACCGAAGCCCAATTTCAGATCTGCCAAATTGATTTACAGACACACACACACACACACACACACCACACACACACACACACACACTTTATATTAAAAGTACCATTCAAAGATAATTTTGTTACATAGATCTAAAACTGGTTTTGGTTGTTTTAGAGTTAAATTTTATTTATTTTTTTATTTTTTGGGTCCGGTCATGGGGCTTAAACTCTAGGCCTGGGTGCTGTCCCTCAGCTCTTCAGCTCAAGGCTAGGGCTCTACCACTTGAGCCACAGCACCACTTCTGGCTTTTTTTCTTTTTGCTTATGTGGTGCTGAGGAATCAAACCCAGAGCTCATGCATGCAAGGCACTCAGCCACCTACCCAGCCCTTAGAGTTAAATTTTAAAATACTGTTGTGTGGTTCATTTTCTCAAAAAAAGACAGAAAAGGTACTAACCATAAAAATAAGATTGATACATTTGATAACTACTTATTAAAAAAATTAAAAGCTGCTGACAACTGGGGAGTAGGATGAGAAGTCTACTACACTAATGCAAAGGTATTTGGCCATCTAACTCGCATGAAAAGTAGTCGATTATGTTTTTTCAAGTTAGCTCCATTACCAATAGCCAAGCCCAAACACATTTTTGAGACTACTAAACTTAATACAGATACTTCAGTTTATTGAGCCTATACAAGACAGCCAAATGCTTAGATTCTCTTCCTGATTTTTTTTTTGTCATGGGACTTGAAATCAGGGCCTGGATGCTATCCCTAAGCTTTTTTTTTTTTTTTTGTTCCAGTCATGGGCCTAAACTCTGGGCCTGGGCGCTGTCCCTCAGCTCTTCAGCTCAAGGCTAGCACTCTACCACTTGAGCCATA